TAGTATTAAGAGCAGGTGTCTTGTTTGAAATTTTGTTTAATAAAATTAATTTATATGGCTGTCTAATTAAACTCAAGATGACGATTGAAAACAAACAGTGCAGCACTAATTTGCAGTTAGATTAAGTAGCTTTGGAATGGATTTCATCAGAAATATTAGGTGGATTTTAAATTTATGATTTTGTGAATGTCGAGTTTAAGCAGAAATTTTTTATTATATTAAAGTTATAAAAATATAATAAATATTTTTCTTACTAAAATATTATTACTATTAGTTACTCATCTCAATTTTAAGAGTTAAATTTAAAATATTTTTTGTTATTTAAATTACGTACTCAAATAAAGAAATATTTACCAGGAAAATGTATAGTAATAGAAATTGATTTTCTAATTTAAAACGCATGTATATAATAAATTTGAAGTAAAAAAGTATCCAATTTGATTATAAAATACTTGTTGTTCAACTTGATTTAGTTTGAGAATATATAATATTAATTTTAAATTAATCAAATCCAATCTTTAAATTAGTTTAGTTATTTTTAATTTTGATATTTTTTCAGTAACAATACTTTATTTTTATAGTCAATTGACAAATATATATTTATTAATAAGAGGTATTCAGTGGTCTGGTTGAGCCGGTGGTCTGGTCTGATTTCCAGTGGAATTTCACAATAAATAAATTATTTTATCAATTATTTATATTTTTAAATATAATTAAATTTTAACATAACAATTATATAAAAATATGATATAGAAAAATATTTTAAATTAATTTAAAAATATATATACTTACATGATCATTAAAATAATAAAATAATTATCTGTAAAAATTAATAATATGCTACATATTTAGAAATAAAATCATAAAAATAGTTCAGTGTTGTAATTTTTATTAATATATAATTTGATAAATATGACGTGAAATATTAATTATATATATATATATATATATATATATATATATATATGTTCGATTTAAATTAGATTGGATTAGTTTTCAAAATAATATTCATGGATCAGCTTATTTCGTAATAAATATTTAAATCAAAATACACGAAGTTATATCTAATTTGGTAATTTTCAATAGATTATATAAAGCAACGTATCCTCTAATCTAGCTCTTTGACGGTGCAGTCAAAAGCCATCCACATCACGACTTTGAGATTTAAATAATTTTATTGTAATTTAGTTAAAGTAATTAGTATTAATATAAATAACATTACAATTTTGTTCATAGTATATTAATTAATTTTTAGAGTGCAAAAAGGAAAAAAGAAAAAGTTTATAGGTAGAGTGAGATTTTCAAATACGCTGCTAAATCTATATATTTATTTCATTTGGTAGGGATGATGCATAATTTGAAAGTTTAATGCCTTCTTAAAATGGAGAATTTGGTAAACCTAACCCATAGATGCTACATCCACCGCAACACTAATTATAAAATTATGAAACAATTAAAATTTTAAAGTGTATTCATTAAAGTTTATTTCTTAATTATCTTATATATGACCTTTTATTTTATTAAAACTGATTATACCTAATTAGCTAATATCAAAGAAAAATAATATAACGATCATATTATATAGTAAGGTAAAATTTCTTTTCTTTTTGTCCTTTCATTTCTCCTTCCACCGTTGTTAACCAAATAAAGGTATTAGGTACAACGCATGAAAGTGGCAGCGTGAGATGCAGATAAGAAATTTGTGATATATCTCAAATATCTATTTAAATTTTAGAATAAATAAGAAAGCAAAAAATATATTTTCCCATTATTTCATTTGTTCCTTTTTTAAATGTCACCATCTATTTCGAATGTTGTCGTTCAGCCACTTATCTTACCTATCAATTATTCTTTATCTTTTTGTTAAGTGGCTCAACGATGGATTTTATAATATATTTTGCCACTTAATTACCAATCATGAATTATTTTTAATTCAAATATTTACTCGAGTTTTTAAAATTGTATGAATGTTTATTTATTTTAACCATAATTTTTCTCTTCACATTTAATTTTTAGAATTTAAACACTTAAACAATAGGTTATGAATTACTCTCTTCTCTTTTAAAATATACATTTTATTTTACTTGAAAGGATTTAACGAGCGAGTTGAAATGAGAGATCAGTAACTACTTTATAGAAATATTTTTTTAATTATATTAAATTCAACTAAATAATAATAAAATAATTATTTTTATGAAAGGAGATTTTATAACAAGAGTTGTGAAAGATTATGAAAGATAATAGTTTAAATTTGTGTTTAGTGCATGTCTTATACAAAACTTAGAAGGTTAATATGTTAAAGAATCATCTCCTACTTAACGTAGTACTTATATAGAAGAATTTGATCAAATATAAATTAATAATTTTCTCAAAAGTTTGTATACCGTGTAATACTATATATGAAAATATATTATATTTTTTTTTTTTTTTGCATTATAATGTCTTCATAAGACTGTAGTATATGATATTTGAATGGTTTGTTATCAATTTACGTTTATATAAAAATTTACATGTGAAAAAGAAAAAAAAATTTAATAATAAAGTTTGTAGTAACTTAAAAAATTTAACTTCAACAAAACAATATTATCTTCAATAAATATGTGTTAAATGCTAGTAAAATATTTAATTTTATTAAGTATTATTCTTAGAAATAACTTATAATAATACTTTTGAAAAGATGATATTATATATATGAATTAGATAAACAAACTCTTAATATATGTTAATTTTTTTATATGTAGAGCATGTCAAATAAAAAAATATGTAGTTATATATTCATAATAAATATCTATATGTTTATTTATTATAATTCAATTAGTCTTTCTCACTTGCTTATGAAATCCACGGGATGAATTGTTTATAGTTGAAGAGTATATATTCATTGAAGCATGGGTCAAAGTTGAGGTTGATAAATCAATAGCTGTATGCAATAAGCAGTACATGGGAAATCTCCCATATATGTACCATACCAACATGAGATATATTACCAAATTTTGGTATTTTTCTTTTTCTAGACTATAGGTGTCAGGTAGGTAATTCTATAGGTGACAAATTTCTTTTTAATAATTTAAGAAACTACATGTAAAAATATTAACAACATATTATTTAATATATAATTTATTATTAATCATAATTTATTAAAATCTAAAATATATGAGAGAAACATTAAAAAAAAAATTCATATAATTTTTATAATTTTAAATAAATTTTAATCAATAATAAGAAGTTTATTAAAAAAAAGTAGATTATTAACATTATTCTAATAAGTATACTGACATATTTACTCTATATATATTTTATTTCCCTTAATTTTCTTCATTTTTTTTTTTTGAATTTGTGAATGAGGATTTGATATTATGAACCTGATAATTAAACTTCAAAACCATTAATTTTTTTAAAACTATTCTATTTATTCTTTATATAATATAATATAAAAATAATAAATTTAAACTATTTAATTATAAATTTAAAAGTTAATAAGTGGTAATATGATTATTTAAAATTTATATATGGGTGCTAATTGAGTGTTTTTAGGAGAGACGCAAAAATTAGTTTATTTAATATATATTTAAACATCGCCCCTTTCTATAAATTTGTTAATGTTGAGTGTTATTTATGTAGTTTATAAAAAGGAATAACGTTAGCTGAATTAATTAAAAAATCAAGTAGTTTTTTTAAGGTAAAATTTAAAGTAGTTTGATAGTGAAATAATATTCAATTTAACAAAAAATTTAGAAAGTCAAATAAAAGCAGAAATAAAATTTTAGGAAAATCTAAGTGTCACGCAAACAGTTTATAAGAGGATTATCTGACACCTCATATTTTTAGTTCTTTATTGAAGTTGACTTCACTGTATAGTATATAATTTGCCACACTTAGCTAATTTGTATAAAATGTTTTCATATAATTCATGAATTTCACCCTTAGCTAATAATTTGTTTCATTTTTAGGTCCCTTTTCACGAGTCACTTTTTTTCTTTAGTTGGATTGTCTTCTATAAGTTTTTTTATAGTAAAATTACAATTGTATATACAGTGGATTTAATAGTTTAATGGTCAATTTATTTCATAGTTGGACACTATTTGTATTAATGATGATTGTCAGTATTTTTAAACATCAATTAATTAGCATCAAAATTAGTCAGCATTATCTAGGGATTGATCAATCTTAAAGAAACATATATAAATCTCTAAAATTATCGATTACTCTTTATTAACATTGGTCAATATTACTATATATTGGTCTTTTTTAAGAGTAAAGGGTATATTTTTTTAAAAATAAAATGTACGCACACATACAATGCTTACACATGTATACATGAATTGGGGATATATCAAGTGAGAATGCTTTATTACTATAAGAATAAGAATAATAAATATAAACTATTGAATTTTATTTAAATAAAAATATATAATTTTTTTAATTATTTATTTAATTGTTAACCATTTTTATGATTTATATGTAATTATATAATTTTAATTTTTGTCTCATCATTTTAAAATAAAAACAATATAACACCATTATATTTAATTAGCAGTTCAAATAATGTATGATATTTTTTGTTTTAAATAAATATTTATTTATATAAATTATTATTTAAATATTAAATATTTTAATATATAAATATTATAATATATCATTACACGTACCATATTCGTTATAAGTTTAAACAATAATAAATTGTCCATTAAAAATTAAGGTATTTTTTAATTGTTGAAAAATAAAAATGGAATGTAATAAATATTCTTCTCTATTTTCAAGAGAGAAAAAAGGAAAAAAAATGATTTAAAACCATAAATTTAATTATGCATCAGAAAAATGAAATTACTTGACATAAGTATGAAGGAAAATTTGTACCCAAAAAATGAAAGATTTGAAGAAAGAAATTTATACATTTTTCTTTATAATTAAAATAATAAAAGAGGAAAAGGATATTTAAAATAAAATGTGTGCATGCATTTGTATGTTGCAATGCATTTGCAGTGATGACTTTGATTGAAGAGATTGAAAACGGTGACACCCAAAAACATTTTCAATACAGAAACTAAGCGTATGGACCCACAGCTATACCACACTGCCCCAACTGTCACGTATTCTTCTGCCACCCAACAACAACATTGTATTCTAAACTTTGTTCACTCTCTCTCTCTCTCCCCTTCTTTCTGCCACTTTTTCTCACTCTTTAATGGCTGCCCGCATCAAAATTCCGCGTTAAACAATCTTGGGTCGGTGCAAGTTTCCATCTTTCTTCTTTTTTGGTTGTCAAAAGGACACTAATAGGAAAAGTCTTGATTTTTTTGGTGGGTCTTTTGTTTGGTCCAGTTTCACCCCCTAAAACGTTGTTTGAGAATATAGAGTTTCCAAGGCTTTTTTTTCTTCTATCCATATCTGGGTCTTCGTGAAACTGAAACTGAAACTGAAGGAGAATTTTGGTGATGCATATTGGTTTTTTTTCCTTTGTGGCGGAGTTTAAGTGTGAATGGTTTATAAGAGTTTACAGTTTGGTTGGAATTTCTTGGGGAACACTTCCTCGATGATGTGTCGTTGCTAGCTGGGATTTGGATGCTTCTTTGCTGTGTTATTTCAGTGGTGGAAGAAGGTAAATGGACTATTGATTTGATTGCATTCATAGATTCTGTCATGCAGAAAAATATGGAGTTCTGATTGAATTGGTGATTACAGAATTTGGATTAGACAGTGTTGGGGCCAAGCTTTTGTGTGTCTGAAGCCTTTTTTTTTTTGTGATCATCAAACTTTTCCATTACGTTTAATCATTCACCTTTTTTTTTTACAAGGGGGGAATCACTGAACAAGTGAGGCTAGTTGTCTCAATTGGCTTTTTTCTTCTTTTTATGGGAAGAGTGGAGTGGAATTTTCAGCTTTCTCTGTGGAACCTGAGATGGTTAATATACCTTCCCTTCCAAAGAAAAATTGCATTGCTGCCTTGAGCTTCACTCAGTTGAGAAACTTGGGGTTCTGATATTGGAATTCCTAGATGCTTTGTGAGTGGACTCACCTAGCAGCATCATAGCCTTTTAACTGCTGCAGCATGTTGAGTCAAAAAGACCCTGAATCATAGGTACTTAGTTCAACCAATCCTATTTCCCCACAAATTTTTAGTTTTTCCTTAGCTGCCTTAAATTGCTAATCACTCAATAATGTTGCATCTTCTTCCGTTTTCAGTGGAAATCCAAATCTTTGTGTTCTAAGGAGTGATTCAGATGATCAACTGTGTGACTGAGTCTAACTCCTTTAATCACGTGACTAGGTTCATTCTATGAGTTGATTTGAACAAACTTGTTTGCCAGTAGAGATCAGTTGGGCCTGCATATATTTAGTGCACCATTTGTCCCTTGTTAAGGTGTTGTGTAGTGTGCACCAACTATGATTTTGAGGCATTACAGGGAGTGTCGATATTTGTGTGTTTATGACTTTGAACAGCATTTGTTTACTTTTTGTTTTTGTCCATGAATCAGGTTGAGCAAGATTATACCTGTGAGGTGTTTTGTTTGAACATTGGCAACAAAAGGCCAAGATTACCCTATTAACATCCTGAGGAAATCGAAAGAGGAAACTGTGCCAATCATTATGGCAAAGAGGTCCCAACGATTCGCTGTGCAGTATGAGAAAGATCAGTCAGGTTGTATGTGGGGTTTTATTAGTATGTTTGATTTTCGCCATGGCCGCTTAACTCGAAAGTTGATAGCAGATAAGAGGCATGGCAACAAGCATGCTGTTGGTAAGGAATGCTTTAATTTAACATCTAAATTTGTACTTCCAAAATTGACAACTTTGCTCTTGTGCGTGTATCTAAATATCCATGGGAAGAGTGTCTATATGCTCAATATATATAATAAAATGTGTTTATGGTAAACAATTTGGAATGAAAAAAACTGCATATACTTTTGTGCTACTGTATATAATTATTCTAGGGTCGCATTCAGTTTTAGAAGCTACACTGCTGTGAGTGATGTCTGTATATTAATCAACGTGCTATTTTTGAGTCAAAATCTTTCATCATAAAAGACTTTACTTGTTTATAATGATCCTGGAATATTTGTGGTCCAACTGTGTTGCATTCATAGAAAAGAACCATAATAATTGTCAAATTTCATTTTTTTTCTGCAGGTGCTTTTCTTACGAAGAACAAGTTTGAAACATTAAGCAATTTGGATGAGGAATGTCAAGGCAATTTTGTAAGTCTGTCCATCCATATGCTTATGCAAATTTGGGATTTTTTTAGCCAAAAAATTGAAGTTGAATACATTAAAATTGATAAAATTATATAGTATAAGTAACATAACATTATCTGTTATCCTCTATGTGCTGACAGTGTGGGTATAGTCTTTTTTTTTTTTTAATATTACAACATCATATATGTTTCAGGACAGAGGAGAAAGTAAGAGACTAACAGTCACTACTGATGCTGATAAACTTAGTGTGAAGAAACTCATTGAAGAAGAGATGATCATTGACCAGGATGGAATAAAGGAAGAAGGTAATGCTGAAGTAGAGTCAAAGCAATCCAGATTAGGACATGAAGACCCTCCAAAGACAGATTCCAAAAGGAAAAAGAAATCTCGCAAGAAAAGCCGTGATATGGACAGCCATGATTTGGATTCAATTGCAACCTTGAAACCTGATGTTTCACATAATCAGCATTCAAGGCAACGGTCAAAAGATAATTTTGATTTGGACAAAATAATGGAGGATTTCTGTCATACAGAAGCTGCTTGTTCCATGATGCATGACAATGATGACAAATTCCATGCACAATCAAACCAAAATCATGTTGTTTCTGAAAATCTTGCAAGAGATGCAATCCATGAATTTGTGAATCAGATGATATTGAATGGGAAAGATCTCCCTGAAGATAGGAAATTCCTTTGCTCAGATGAATTCATGGAAGCACTTCAGGTCATAAGTTCAGATAAGGAATTGTTTCTTCGACTTCTACAAGACCCAAATTCACGCTTATTAAAATACATTCAGGAGTTGGAGAATGCTCGAGGGAAAGGTGACAAAGATTGCAGTTCAGTTACTGGCTCCAAGAGCTCTGATCAAGACCATGTTGATCTGAAACAAACTAGGGAGATTGTCAACCGCAAGCATCGTAACTTCTTCAGGAAGAGGGTGAAGTCTCAATCAAAAAACCCAACAAATGAAAATGAGAAAACTGAGTTTTCAAATAGAATTGTCATTCTGAAACCTGCACTAATGGGCATGCAAATTTCTGAAAGTGAAAACAACCTTGCCTCATCGCTAGAGTCTCATAATATTGTCCATTACAAAGGTCCTTCTGTGAGAGTTGGTTCACATTTTTCTCTTACAGAGATAAAAAAGAAATTGAAACATGCTATGGGAAAAGAGAGACATGGAAACCCTGATGGGATCACTCGAAAACTCCCCGTTGACCGTCAAAATAAAGTGCCAGGAGGCAAATCCAATGGCAAAGATAATACTGGAATGAGATCTCCTAATAAAGATCATTTCTTCATTGAAAAAATTGCAAGACCTATGTTTGACGTTGTGAAAGGAAACAAGACCAGTACATTGAAAGACTCTGAATTGAATGCGGAACATGAAAGTGGTACTCCCAAACAAAGAGTTTCTAACATATACATTGAGGCTAAGAAGCATCTATGTGAGATGCTAGATAATGGAGATGAGAACGCAAATATTTCAAGCAGGCAGTTTCCCAAAACCCTTGGGAGAATACTTTCTATTCCTGAGTACAACTTTTCTCCTCTTGGAAGTCCTGGAAGGGATTTGGAGCGTCATTATGTGACTGCACAAGCAAGATTTTCTTCTCCGGACAAAACTAGGGAGGTTGATGCGGATAACTTGTCTCCCAAACAAGCAACCTTTATTGGTCATCCAGATCAGGAAACTAACAATTTAGAGAAACAATCAAGCATTTGTGATGAAAACTCTAATGATAAAGCACCAGACAATAAGTCCGAGTCAAATTTCTCCCATGATCTTGGTCATGTTGATACCTCCAAAGCCTGTTATCCTGTTAGAGATGAGATAGTTGTCGAAGGTACCGTGTTCAACTTCAAAGTACATAAGTTATAGATGTTAGGATAAACTTTGGGGTGCAGGCATGTTTATCTACCTTCATTTATCATTTCTTAATTCTTTATGCAGATAATGTAGAATCCACAGAAGAGAAAAATGTTCTGGAATCATCTTTGGATCCAAATGGCTTAATTGCAGGAAAGGACCGAGATCATGATATCTTAGAAATCCCTGATGATGCAAGTTGTTCTGAATGTTTAAATCAGGTAATGTCACTTGCTACATTATATTTTTATGTAAATAATTGATCTAGGGATAAATTGGCTATAATGCTAGAAGTATAATCAACGTAAGTTATATAATGGCTACTAAAGATTTCTTCCAAAACCCCTATATCTGTAAGAATTTATTTGTAGATTCTAAACTATCATTTGATTCTTTTACAGGACATAACAGAAGATAACCAACCATCATCCCCTTGTCAATCTTTCATCCCTAAGAAAATTGAAGAGCTAGAAAGTGGTACAGATGTATCCGGGCGACCAAGTCCTGTATCTGTTCTTGACACATCATTCTCAGATGATGACATTGGTCCTGGGTACTCCAGATGTCAACCTGGTAACCATTCCTTCACTAGAGCATTGAGGGGCATCTCTTTATACATACTTAAAAGTTAAAACCATATTTGTAAAAACAAGATCTGGAAACTTTTTGTTGCAATAGTTTTATTTTCTTTAAAACTAGAAATAGAACAACATACTGGTTACTGTGGCTCTGTAAATCACACTTCATCCAAAAATTGATCTAGAAATAGTTTCAGATATTTGTTTGGTTTCATATTCTTGTCCCTTTGATTCTTACATGAACAAATTTGGAACTGTTTTTGAGGGACCAACTAACCCTTTTATTTATCATATTGATTTTATTTTTTTCAGTTAAATTACCTGTTCAACCACTACAAATTCATTTTCAAGAACGCGACTGTTCGCCAAGGGAACAATTTAACAGAGGAAAATATTGTCTTGAAGAAAATGAATTGATATATGATTACGTTAAAGCTGTCTTTCACACCTCTGGCTTGACTAGAGATCAATTGTTGATGAAATGCCTTTCCTCAGATGAGATACTAGATCCTTCCTTGTTTGATCAGGTAGAGTTCTTTTCAAACCTGCTTTGCCATGATCAGAAGCTCCTATTCGACTGTATCAATGAAGTTCTCATGGAGGTATGTCAGCATTACTTTGGGGTCTCCCCTTGGGTATCATTTGTAAATCCTAGCATAAGGCCAAGTCCATATATGAAAAGGGTTATTCTCAAGGTTTGGGAAGGAGTGTGTTGGCATGTCCTTCCCTTGCCCTTACCTCGTACTTTGGAGCAAATTATTAGGAAAGACATGGGAAGAAGTGGAACATGGATGAACCTTGGACCTGATGCTGAAATGGTTGGTGTTGACATGGCCGAGGCAATTCTTGCTGAACTAATGGACGATACAATACCGAGCCTTGTAAGTGAAAGTCCAGAAAGTAAATGCTCTCTGCTTGAATCTGAATTGAAGGACAATGAGAGCAACATCAACTTGTAAAAGACAAAACTCATGGCTTCATGCTCATGCTAACTGTTCAAGGAATTTGCATGTGAGGTGGAAAGGATGCAAAGAAGCTAAATATCAAGCAGGGGGATGAAAATTGATAAGGAAGAATATAGGAGACTTGGTTGGTTGGTACTGTTTCTTTTCACCATGGCTGACTATTCTGATATTGGATACTATAATGTGAATGAGGATACTCAAATAAGGAACCACCGCAAGTAACAAGAAGTAAATACAGAGCCAATTGCAATTGCTTCTTGCGAAAGTACATAACTAGGCTTGTTTTCAATGACAAAACAGACAAAGCAACAGTTTTATTCAGCATGTGCCTCGTTTCACCCAGTGAGGGCGAGAAAGTGTTTGATTGTAGATTTTGTAAAGTTTGATCTGTTGATCCCATTAGCAGGTGTGTTATAGTTTTGTTTGATATCATCCTTACTTTGTATATTTGCTTTTTGGTTATCATTTGTATTCACAAGTTTGGAAATAATGAAATGTAAACTCAACTTGGTGTAGTTTCAAAAGGAAGATCTAAGCTGAAATATGAATGACGTGACAATAAAGAAGCCAGGAAGTTGCAGAATGCTTTGAAGCTGTCCACTTGAATTATTGTTCTTGCTTTTGCTTCTTTTCCTGTCTGATAATGACCTTTCTGAAAGGAATGTTCAATATCAATGACATTTAAATCTAGTGTGATTATCAACTAATATAATTGGCTTTGATATTTTATCGCTATTTAACTGAAGTAAATCTTAAATTTACATGTCCTTATGTCAAGTATAGTTGTATCAATTTAGGTATTCGGTATTAAATTTTAAAAAGTATTGCTTCTGCAGTATTTTGCATGTTTTTGAAGAACATGTAATACAAAACGTTTAAAGAGTTGCAAATTGAATGTTCAAATTATATATGTTCAAAGCAATTTATAAACGTATTAAACAAGATAGTACAGTAAATTGAAGCATAATCGTTTCAACATTAAAATAATTGTTTTGCATAAATGTTCACTCAATTTTTTATATCATAAATAACTTATCAATATATAAATAGCATGTCAACAAGACTTGTATAAACTAACCAAAATATTCATTCAACTACATAATGTGAAAAGATGTGTCAAAACCTAATTGATATTAAGCCACTATAACTTGTATAAACAAATTCGATGCAAGAATATTTTTCATCATAGTATCACTCACAATATATAAAGAATTGCACGTAGGAGTGATTTTATAACATGATTTACCATTCTATATAAATTTTATCACTCAATTTTTTATATCATAAATAACTTATCAATATATAAATAGCATGTTAACAGGACTTGTATAAACTAGCCAAAATATTCATCCAACTAAGTAATGTGAAAAGATGTGTCAAAACTTAATTGATGTTAAGCCACTATAACTTGTTAAACAAATTTGATGCAAGAATATTTTTCATTAATGTATCACTCACAATATATAAAGAAGTGCACATAGGAATGATTCCATAACATGATTTATCATTCTACATAAATTTTATCACTTAATTTTTTATATTATAAATAACATATCAATATATAAATAGTATGTCAACAAGACTTATATAAACTAGCCAAAATATTCATCCAACTACGTAATGTGAAAAGATGTGTCAAAACTTAATTGATGTTAAGTCACTATAACTTGTATAAACAAATTCGATGCAAGAATATTTTCCATTCATAGTATCACTCACAATATATAAAATACTGCACGTAAGAATGATTCCATAACATGATTTACCATTCAACATAAATTTTAAGTGCCAACAAGTCCAACATACAACAGACCAGTAGCGAGTATCCGCCAAGAGGCACCAATTCTTTGTTAAAATTAGTATTAATTACACGTAGAGGTATATATGCTCAAATGTTGACATGCCAAACAAAACCAATATATATTAAACTAGTAAACTACATATTATTTCTCTTCGAAACACTGTTACATTTTTTTTGTTACATTGAAGATCCTTTAGACCCGAAGGGGAATGTAAGGAAAATAGTAAAAAAGTGGGCACTAGGACGTTCAATCCCGCATCAAATAACTCCTAAGGCAAAGTTAGATGCCAATAGGGTAGGCTATGCTAGTAAATTTATCTATTCCTACTGACTATATATATATATATATATGTCACTTCTGCTTCTTATTTCTAAGAATAGATGAGGTCAAAGGAACTTCTGCCTTCCTCTTGGAAAATGCACTAGTTCGGCTGTCTACGTTTTCGTTGTCTTCATCGTCATCTAAAACATCTCTTGCAATTGTGGTAGACTCTTTAGCAATATTAGCTGCTTTTCTTTTTTCAGCATCCAATTTGGCATGCAATTTCCTTTCAACCGGGTCATTTGAAGGTCCAACTTTGGATTGGCGTGAAACTTTTGCTCCTAGACCAAGCCTACAAAGATGTGCAGCGGTACAACATAATTTAAACCAATACTTATCATAGGAAACAAATAAGTATATCATATAGGTTTGCTGAAGTAAAATCAACAATTTGATGGTGATGGGTATACTGACCTAAAAGGTCGACCCTCTATATCCACATTTGTTCCTTCATCATCTGCAGCTTTGCTCATATTATTTACCCATAACTCAGCCTGCCAATCAGAACGTTTGGCATGTAATGTAAGTAACAGCAACACCAAATTCCCAATATTTTGATAAATTCCTACTAGCTAATCTCATAAAAAAAGGCTTTGGGCAAAAAAGGAATTTGAAGACACAGATCTTCCAGTCACCCAATTGCAACATGATTTGGACGTAAACATATTTGACTGTTTCCTGATCCTTTTGCTTTGGGGAGAAAAGTAGTAATAAGTATGAAGAATTAAAAGTCATGCTCCCAATATTAGTGAGCAGCAGGAATGAAACTATGCAGTGCCTTTTGGGGGCAACTGCCCCCAGAAATACTTTATTTTTTTCTTAATAGTATATGTTTCGTGTGTACATATGTGTGTGATGTGTTGCTGCCACAAATCTTCATGTGTGTATATTGCCCCAGTCCCACAGGTTCAAATTTTAAAGTTTGTCACTGGTGAGCAACAAACACCTTGAACTTTTATAACAAATAATTTTTACTACTATTATAAGTTAAACTATGGTTTACAATTTGAAAAACACAAAAGTTAATAAATAAAAACTATCCGCAAAAACCTGAATATCTGTTTAAAAAATGATGAATTAAGGTGAAGACAACAATTTTTTGCAAATTGTTATAATAGCCTTATTATGAAATAAGACTGCGGAAGACAACAATTTTGTTATAAGATAGAACATAAACTGGAAGACAATGCGAGGCATATTTAGAATATTCCTTACTGTTAGTGTAAGGTCTGTATGAATGCACATCAATACCACAAAATAATTTACCATGCATTTGATAACCACGACATACATAAATCCCATTCTCCATTCAAGGCAAAAGGGCTAAAAATATGTGTACCAATTTCAATGCCTTGTCCAACTTAACAATTTGGGGTGCACCAGTTTTCTTTGGTCTTTCTGTGACAGTCATTTTAAGCTCTTTATGTCCTGATAAATCGAAGGAAACAATTAATATATACTCCTACTGATATATTGCCAACATAATATTTTTTTAAAAAAAGAAAAAACTAGAGAGCAACTAAAAGAAAATCCATTCTGCGATTTGGAGAAAAAAAAGTTGATGCTAGATTTTATAATTCAAGTAACTAGAGTTTAGTTTATAAACAGATAGCAATTCAATTATTCATGCTTATGATGATACACGATAACAAGTAACAACAACAACAACAAAGCCTTATTGCACTAGGTGAGGTTGTTTACATGAATCGTATGATGGCACTAGACTCAATCAAAAACCAAATATTTAGAGAAGCTTATGGTGCAGTTTGTTTGCAAATTAATACACCATTATACAGAATACACAGATTCTATTTCCCAACTTTAACAATTCCAAACAAATGAGATGAACAAATCTTGGCCATGCCATATATGAATGGTCAAGATTAAAGGTTTTTTCCAGCCAAATGACCTTTTTGTTTTAATCTAGATTCGTGGTAAAATCAAATGGTCAGCCACATTGCCTGTAGAATCTTTCAATCTCTAATCCAAAAGCCGAAATGATTCAAATCAGCATGATCATACAAAACTAATCCATTTCAATCTCTACCTCGCTTTGTTAAAGTATAACCGTTGAAATTGGAAACTTTCATTAAAATGTTTCTACATACGATATGATATAAGTCCAACAAAAACAAAATACAATAAAATAAATAAAAGGAAATCACACCTACGTGAAGTGCTAACACTTATAAACATGTGGCCAACCATTTTTGACTTGCCAGAATCATAACCAAGTAAAGTAATAAATCCATATCCAACAGTAATCAATTATAAGAGACAACACAAGGTTGCAAAATTCAACCAAATCATTTTCAATCCACAGCATAAATGCAAAACCCTTTAAAATAAAAATCCCCTCATTTCTTCTATCTTATATTCCTGCACAAAATAACAGGGGCACCAAATGAAACTTCTTCAGATGCAAGAGGTGAAAACTGAAAAGACAACCCAACAGCTGAATCGTTTCAAAATCTCAACTTCAACATCAAATCCGAGCTACTCCTAAACATACTCTAAAGTTATACACGAAGCTGAACACGTAATTGCAAAAGCATACAAAATCAAATATAATGCAAGGAAAAAGAGCCCGCCCGCAACTTAAACTCTGAAGAACAATCCATAGGTAGGGTTTTCAAGAACAATCATCCGATTACTATTTTGCTCTTCCCCAACTTAGGAAATGCACACATGAGCTAGTTACGGAACTAAAATTGGGGATACTCCAGCACGAAGAAGCTGGGACTTTCAATTGACAACTCCACAAAACAGAATAAAGGGGTTTCATAAAAATTAAAATTAATAATAATAATGGGGGAGTTGCAAATTACTGAAGATTAATGAAAATGGAAATTCAGGGGAACATACCTGGGAAGGAAATTTAGAAACTTCGACGGAAAGAGTGGGAGAATGTGAGGAAGTAAGAAGAGAGAAACAGAGGAACAAAGAAGAAGGGGTAGAAGGAGGGTCTATGCAGGGTGCTTGAGGGCTTTGACTCTTTATTTTTTATTATGTTTATGTTGTTGGTGTTTCATGGAATCAGATAGTGCTAACAACGAAGATGAAGGATTCAACGTTATAGAACTGAACCCGTGATCAACCAACTGGATTACTGGGTCTTTGTTAAACCGATATATTTCTGTAAATTTCATACTTTAAAAAAATGCCAAAAATTGTAGTGTTTTAAAAAGTTCATACTCCAAGTTCAAAACCCCAATTATCACACAAATACCTACTTAAATAAATACGAATCAAGGTTCCATTACAAGTCACAAGCATACAAACGACAAAACATAAATTAAACAATCGAAGTTTTTATAATATTATTACGATAGAAGCTCACAAATAACAACCACAATAGAGTAAGAGAGTGCCCGTTTGCAATTTGGGATTTAAGGAGCAGAAAACACAGACGCAGCACTCCCAGTGACGCCGCACGCAAAGAGTGGAATCTAGGGATTGCACTTTCCAGATTTCTGTTTTCCATTCTTGGAGGTATAGACTAGTTTTTTCGTATTTTTGGAAAACGACGTAGTTTATTGTTCAGCAAAAAAAAATATTAATAAAATGTACCTGGAGGGTTAAGTTGACCGATCCAGGTCCAACTTTTACAATTTTAAAAGGATATAGTTTTAACAATTTTAAAAATTGATATACAATATTTTTTGAGGATAAAACAAGGGTAATTTTTCGTGTGTTTAAAATAATTATATATACTATAATTTTTTATTAAATTATATAAGACATTATAGAACTAATATACTAATAATATTCAATTTTGTAGTTTTAATAAAAAGAATTTATTAATTTATATCTTCTATGTTTTTAAACATGTAAAAAATTATTAAAAAAATATTATTTTTTACCACAATAAATTATATATTTATATCTTCATTTCATCTAATTAAATTATATTTTTAATTTTTATTATTATAATTATCGTTGTCATCGTTATTTATTCATAGTAATAAAAAATAAATTTAATTGTACTTTTAATTTTATTTTTTGTATATTTAACATGTGTGTATTTTGATTTCTTTAATTTAAATTTTTTACATTTAATTTTTTAAATATATAATTTTAGTTTCTTTAATTTTTATTGTTAATATTTAGTTTCTAAAGTTTTTAGATTTTGTAATTTTGGCTCCTCTAAATATAATTACTCACATTTAATTTTTTAAATGTTTAAATTGAGTTCTTCATTAAAAATTTTATTATATTTTATACCTTTTAAAATATTATATATATTTCTTAGTTGTATAAATCAATAAAATATCATATCTTGATTATATTTTTATTAATATTTTATAAAATTTTAAGATATATGACTTAATTTAAGTATTTAAAAAATAGAAAATTTAAATATGAATAATTAAAATAAAAGAAACTAAAATCATATATTTAAAAAATTAGAGAAACTAAAAATTTTTATTAAAAAGATTATAAAGACTAAATATAATTAAAATTAAAAAAATTGAAATCATATATTTTTAAAAAATTAAGAATAAATAGTTAAAATTAGAAGGATCAAAATCACATATGCATTAAAGTATAGACTAAAAAAAAAATATTTTAATAATATTTTTTCACTGTTAGAATTTCTTATGTTTTGAAATATTTAAGTTTTGATAATTATATTATGATACTTTTTGTTTTAAATTTTTTTTACATGCAGTTCAAATAAAAATTAATATGTAACAACCTCTTAGTTAACTATGTCAATAATAGGATTTTTTTTTTCAAAAATACGAGAATGAAAATAAAAAAAATCATTTAAAGAAACTAAAGTTGAAACTTTGTTAGAATATTATAACTAAAAAATATTTAAAACTTTATTTTTAATGAATTTGATTTGTACCACTTGTATTATTTATTTCGAGAGCTAAATATGATGAAAAAAAATGTGAGAGTTTGATAAAAAAAAAATAATAGAAAGGAGTAAGGTAATTCTAAATTTGATGCATATCAAAGTAATAAATTAAACATATTATTGTTCAACTTGGATTAAATTTCTCAATAAATACATATAAGAGTAAAAAATTAGGTAATAAAATGAATTTAACTCTTTTTATAAGTTAAAATCAATTTCTATTTTTTTATTTTAAAAAAATTCTCTGATTCAATTATTTAAAAAGTTGAGGAGAAAAGTTATTTGTAAGTTATAAAGAAAATATTTACTTTATATATTTTTATTTTTATAAAAAATATTCATAAATTTATCTAAATTAGACCTGTGTTCTCCTAAATTATTTATTATTAGCTCAAATTTTTATATAGATAAATTTTACACAAGAAAATCTCATACCATGTTAGTTAGACAAAAGCTAAAAACAAAAAATATCATTTGAATTTACTCATACTTGTTGTTAATGATTTGTTGGGTAATATGGAAAGAAAGATGTGAAAAATTTTAAAAAACTCCAACTTGTATAGAAGCCAAGTTTTGCTAATGGCTACATATATTATATGTGATTGGCAGAGACACCAAGATCCAAGATCCTGTAGAGCAAAACAATTACATGATTGGACAATTGCTATGGGGTTTGGATTGGTTGTTCATGATTTTTAAGGTTTGCTTCATGCTTCCACTTGTCATTTTGTGCCTCATGAACCAAAATCCCATGCACTGGAAACCTTACCACTTATGTGTTAATGACACATTGCTATCGTTTAAGTCAAATTACATGATGCAACTCCAATACCATGTAAGCAAATAATAGAATAAGCTCATAAATTGCTAACTGAGGGATCTATGTGAAATAAAATAAAATAAAATTATATATATATATATATATATATATATATATATATATATATATATTTGGCGAACTAGATTAAAAAAGACAAATAAAAAAATTATAATTTTCGAGAGAACTAAAACTCTGTTTAACAATTAATTATTATAATTTTACTTTTTTTAGTTTTGTTTCCTTACATTTTTTTCTTAATATTCAATGTCATTTTATTTTTTTTATTATTTTCATTGTTATTACTATTACTATAAAATCTCTTTTATTTTGATTTAGAATTGTAAATCAAACCCCCCCCCCCCAACTTCTTCTGTGCTAAAATATTTCCTATTTTTAACTCTGGAATTAGCTAATGTGCATCTCTAAAATCGGAGAAGAACAAATGGTAATTAGAATTTAGTTCTCTTTCCAATAAGATAGCCAAAACTATGGTTAGTTTGGATGAAAAATAAAGTAAAGTGGAATGGAATATAAATAATGAAAAAGAAATAGATAAAATGTATTATTTGGATGGACAGAAATAAGTTGAAATAAAATACAAATTTACTTCTACTTGTTTAGATAAATGTAAAAGAGAATAACAAAAAAACTTATTATGATGACTTTAAAAATGAGACTTAAGAAATTGAATATTCTATTGTATCCTTTTATATTAGTACAAAATTATTAATATTTTTTATAAACTTTTTGGCTATGAAATTTTAATTTTAAAATTTAAACAAATGAAATAAATTTTTTTTAAAAAAATGCATCCTCACACCCACTACATTTCATGCCTAAATGGAAGGGAAATGTGAAAATTTCAGACTACATCGTGGCATCACTTGCATGTTTTTGGTATATTACAACTATCATGCCAAATGGAATGAATGAATGAATGAATATGACTAAGCATATAGTAGAGTAGGTTCACACACAAAATCATAGAATTTGTAGAAACTTATTGGAACAAATTTCAAATATAGTGTTAGTTTACAACAATTTTAATGGTTGAGCTCTCTCTATGCATAAGTTTAAACTTTTGAGAAAATAATTGTTGAAAAGGTTTTCTTGCTGTAACAGTAGAAGGTGTAGTCACACAATAATGCCTATGGTAAAAAATTTCTAGAATTCAACTTGGGTAAATGAGTTTTTAAAAATGTGTTTTAAGTGAGTGAAAGGTGTTTTTGTAATTTAAGAGTTTTATGCAATATAATGATGGAGCTATTAATGCTTTGTGATGTCAAAACAAGTAGTGAATTCTCAAAAATAAAAACTTAACACTGTTAAAATAAAAAATTTGTAAAAGATCAACAAACATTCAAAAGATATTAAAAGTAAACATATAATGTATGAACTCATTTTTGCAATTTGTTTGCAACTTATGAGAGAGATAAAAAAAAAGGCGATAAATTTGTATTAAGATGAATAATGCGATGAAAAGAGATTAAAAAAATATAGTATTATAAAAAATATAATAAAAAATATTGAATGAAAATATTCCTATTGATAAATAAATAATATAATTTTACCTTTGATGATTTGAGGGAGACGATTCTCTTAAATTATTTTGACATAAGTTTGTACAAATTTTATATTTAAAAATGTTAATTTTAATTTAATAATTAATAATAGTAAAATTTTATAGATAAAAATATTTATTATGCTTTTATAACTTTAATATAATATTTATATTTAATATATATATATATACTTAAATACTTAAATTTAATGTTGATTTATAGATAAAAGTATTTATTATACTTTTATAACTTTAATATAATACTTATATTTAATATATATATATATATATATATATTTTAAATATTTAAATTTAATATCAACAAAAGTTAGTTTGAGTAGCAAGCGGCTTAATATCACTTAAATAAAATTTTAGGTTTAAGTTTTTGTGTATGCGAACAAATTTCAGCAGTAGACTTATCCACTATATCTAGGTGCATGATTTAGATCAAATCAAGGTTAGATCAGATAAAAAATAAAAAAATATTAAAAATTGAGTTTAACAAATTTCTTATATTTATTATTTTTAATTTTTTTTATACAATCTCACTTATTTAATATATTTTAAGAAAAAATGTATCATATAAATTTTCAATATGAGAAATTTTATTTTAATAATTTAGCAAAAGTAAAGAAAACAAATGAAAATTATATTAATACTTTAATAACAAGAATAATTACCTGGATATAAAATGACCTAATCAATATAAGTTTTTAAAAATATACTAAACAAGAAAAAAAATTAAATAAAAGAATAAAAAATAACACCTTAACATTATTGCTTTGATAATAATTATCATTTTCATATTTTATTATTAATAACACAAATTTTATTTCTCAAATCTGAATCAATTATTTTTCTTTAAATTCTTAAAAAAAAAATAATGCATTTTAAATCACATTTCAATCTTAAATAAATTATCTTTGTAACTACTTTGGTTAAATTGATTATCACTTAAAATATTTTTTATTTTAAAAATTTATTATTCGAAAATTTAGAAGGTGTTAATAAATTGTGATATCAATATTTTCTATAATAATTTTTATTAAATATAATTAGAAAGTAAAAATAACAATAATAAATAAGAATAATGTAATTAAAGTAAATAAACTTATGCTTTTAATGTGATAAATAAGATTATTTAATATATATATATATATATATATTTTTTTTTTATATGAACATTAAAAAAAAGTTATTTTAAAATAAAAAAAATGTTTTACCAAAGCCCTTCACCTTCACTGTTGGTGCTTTGTGAATCACAGGAAACACCAACAACACAATCATCATCATCGTCACTGCCAAAAAATTAATTAAAAAAAAATAAATAAAAAACAGAGTCAAAGCCCTCAAGCACCCTACAGAGACCCTTCTTCTACCCCTTCTTCTTTGTTCCTCTGTTTCTCTCTCTTACTTTCTCACACTTTCCCACTCTTTCCGTCAAAGTTTCCAAATTTCCTTCTCAGGTATGCTCCCCTAACTTTCCCTTTTCATTAATTTTCAATATCTTGCAATTCCCCCATTATTATTAATTTTAATTTTTACGAAACCCCTTTATTTTGTTTCCTGGAATTGTCAACCGAAAACCCTAGCTTCGTTTGTGCTGGAATGTCCCCAATTTCAGCCCCGGAATTAGCTCACGCGTGCATTTCCCAAGTTGGGGGAAGAACAATATAGTAATTGGAATTTCGTTATCGAAAACCCTAGCTATGGATCGTTCTTCGGAGTTTAAATTGCGGGCTTTTTTTTTTTTTTTTTCTCGCATTGGATTTGATTTCGTAGGTTTTTGCAATTGCGTGTTCTGCTTGGTGTAGAGTATGCTCGGTGTAGCTTGGATTTGATGTTAAAGTTTATATTTTTAAACGATTCAGCTGGAGGGTTGTCTTTTCAATTATTGCCTCTTGCACCTGTAGAAGTTTCATTTGTTGCTCATGTTATTTTGAGCAGGAATATACGATAGAAAAAATGAGGGTTTTTTTTCTTTTTTCTTTTAATGGGTTTTGGATTTATGCTTGTAGATCGGAAATGATTTGGTTGAATTTTGCAACCTTGTGCTGTCTCTTATAATTGATTACTGTTGGATATGGATTCAATACTTGATTCTAGCAACTCTAAAATGGCTGGCCACATGCTGCTTATAAGTGTTAGCACTTCATGTAGGGGCGGTTCCCTTTTATTTTATCTTTTTATATTTTGTTTTTGTTGGACTTCGTATCATATGTAGAAACATTTTAATTAAAGTTTCCAATTTCAATGGTTATACGCTGTCTCAATATTCCTAAAACAATGGTTGTGATTGCGTTTGTATTAGTTTGAATCGGAAATGCTTTTTAAGGGCATATTTAAAATGTCTAACTTCTGTTGTATGCTTGCACTTTTTTTGAAATCAAGACTTTGACATGGTTAGTGTCAACACCGGTTTCAGAACATGAAAGTATAGTTGTTCAATTTTTGTTTGCTCCAGCTGTCACACACGAATGCATTGGAAATTGGACTTAGTGTGGAGTGTGGACAAGACTTTACGACTTTGTTTTCTTTTATTTCCAGAATATTTATATTGTTTGCATGTTAAATGAAGCATTCACATGTTTTTTATTTTTTGGAGTGTGCATATTGCCTTTGAGTTGCACTCTTCTGATGTGTTCTTGGTGTTAGTTAATGGTTCTTATGGTGCCTGTTATGGATCTTTTTCTTAATTCTTTATCCATTTGTGCTTTACAGGTCAGAATAGTACCACTCTGCCTCACATTTGGGGTCCACAAATTGGGTCTCAAGTTGGGTGATATAGTTGTTGGGGTATTAGGATTTCAGTGCTTATCTTGTAGTGGTTGAATTGAAGGCAGTTCAATAACACATAGATTTGATGCCTAAGGTCATTTGATCTAATTCTTTCTTCAATTATGTGTCCTTTTTCTTCCCCCGTCAGTTTTTAGGCTTTTTTAGCTTGCTTAATTGCTCTGGTTGGAAATTTCACAATGCATTTTCAATGATGCAGTTTGGATACTTGTGAGTTTGATGTTGAGGGCAGTATGCCGGTTATAATTAGGGGAAATGCAAAGGTATCATGCTGGCAACTGCACTAGTGCAGTTAATAACAGTGCAATTGGTGGGCCATCCACTAGGGACATTGGAAGGGCTGATTCATCTTCCTTGCCAGCCAACTTTCCTGTAAGTTCAAGGTAAGATAATTTCTACCTACGCTGGTCTGCTGAGAATTTTGTACCAATTTTGTGTTCTCAATTGACTGTGACTGTATAACATATGACCATGATACTGCATATTCCAAATAGTGGTGGTTGTGATACAGCTTCTCATGCTTCATTCCCTGTTAGCTTACAATAGCTTCAAAGATATAGAGGAAAAGATAGTCATTTGTAATTTTAGTCTTATTTAAAGTATCAAAGCTGATCCCATATGCATTAGTCAATAAAAATAAATAAGAAAGAAATTTGGATGATACTAGGAGTATTGTACGCATATTGATACCATATATGGATAGGACACTGATACTTTGTTATTTTTGAAGTATTTGGGCTTCATAGCTCATTTATAAAATTTATTCTACAGTCCAAATTCAAATACTGTAACCTGGGTTTGTGAAGTTTTTATATGGAGAACATGATTGAAGATCACAGCAGGGAGTTTATATTGGAGATAATGATCAGTTAGTAAGAATTGCATTATAATTTTATGTCTACATTGCTTTAATTTAATCTTGCAAATTGGCAAATAGGTTTTTCAAATTTATAGATTTTGTTCTGTTTGTTCTCAGTAATAAAATGGTAATGGTATATATTATTAATTATTATTATTATTATTATGATGATGATGATCCTAAATCAGTATCTGATGCTGTTTATCACTTTCAATGCAATGGTTTTGTATTTGCAGGCGACAACCACCTTTAAACCCATACAAGTCAAAGTGTGATAAAGAACCTCTGAACTCTAGGTAGTGTCCTTGCTAGTAATAGGAGTTGTTTTCAAATTGTTGCTTACTTTTGTTAGTTCATGCATAACAGCCATTGAAAGTTTTTCTGGAGTATCTGTTTTTTGTTTGTTGTTATTCAATGGTATTTAGATGGAAATGTTTTAAACTTGGTAGTCTTAGTTTTTGGTTTAACTTTCCTTATCATCTAGTTGTATAAATTTTAAATGCCGCAATTTAATCTCAGGCTTGGTCCCCCGGACTTTCACCCCCAAACACCAAATTGCCCTGAAGAGACTCTGACCAGAGAATATTTGCAATCTGGATATAGGGACACAGTTGAGGGGCTAGAGGTACAGTTCTTTTATTTCATACTTTTGCATTTATATCAACTGGATAATGTAAATTAGCCATTTAGCTATGTATAATTGACTTATAGCAGTTATGCATTTATTATTTTTTATAGCAGCTATGACTCTGATATATTCAAGTTGTGATTCTGTTGCTATCTTTTCTGTTTCATTTTTCCTTCTACTTCAAGCATTCACACTTTAATTCCAATTGTCTAGTGTGGCTATGTAGCTGCTGATATTGAAGCAGTCTGTTGCTATGCCTTAGTTTTCTCTTCTGATAATTCTTATGTTGGAATTGTGATCCTGGTTTTTGTTATTGTTGCATTTCTATCTGTGCTAGTTTTAGTAAAATTGGTTACAGAACAGTTATAGTTTTTCTTTCAAATTTCTTTATTGGATCTTCTACTGTTCATGATGATTGAAACTGTTGTGTAGGAATTTTTATATTTTTGAGAATTGGCTTCCCTTGATGAATCATTGAAATTCAACTTGTTCTTTCTAACTGATTGTTTGCCGCTTAATAACTTGGCATTGCTTTTTTTGTCTTCAGGAATCTAGAGAAATTTCTCTTACCCAGGTTCCAAATTTTCACAAGACAGTTGTCCATAGTTGCAAAGAGGTGACACCCTAGACATTGTGACAGATTTTGGTCCTGTTTCTATAACTATGCCATGAATATGTTGCACATTCTCCATTTTGGTTTTTGTATTCATTGGAAGTCTTTGTAGGTTAACTCTTTAGTCTTTCATCTTCTATCCAGGCCATTAGAAAACGTCTAAGGGCCATCAATGAATCTCGTGTTCAGAAGCGAAAGGTGATGACAAATGATCTTTATTCTGTTATTTCATTATGCTTGCTGAACATCATGTATTCCTTTAAAATATTCCATATTATGTGCTTGATTTTCTTTTATTTTGGGTTTAGTGGGCCTTGCCTATGCTAGCTTGTTATGTAGGCGTGTGTTTTACATGATAGTGCTTATTTTGACAGGCTGGTCAAGTCTATGGAGTGGCTCTTTCAGGATCACAACTTGCTAAATCTGGTGTTTTCCCTGAACAACGGCCGTGTCCTGAAGACTTCCGGAAGAAATGGATTGAGGTATTAATGAAAGTCTTGCTCCTATTGCTTTAATCTTTGTGCAACTTTCCTATATAACAATTGCTTCCCTTGTTATTTGTATCTGTTAGAATGTTAGGGTGGTTGGTTTATTGTTAGTGAACTTGAGCTTGTAACAGTAGTACTGGTACTAGGCCTAATGTTTGGTATACATTAATATAAGTGTTAGAGTGCCTTATATAACACATTTATCAAAAAAGCCTGGTTTAGGTATAAAAGATGGAAAAGGGAAAAGACAGTAATATGACGGGGATTGATATTAGATGTTACATATCACCCTAGCCTGATGCTCATGTGTATACTAATAAGTCAAGTAGTAGTACTACCAATATAAGCCCAGGCTCAGGTCCAGCGCACTAACTATAATTCTTTTGATATTCTAACACTTTCTATTTAGCTTTTGCAGAATTTATATGTAGAAAACCGAATGTTATGGATCATTTGTATATCTAGGTAGATGGTTGTAGTTTAATCTGGCTGGTGGCTGTGTGAAAATATGGATGGATACAGAATATGTTTATATGCTAAATACTCCTGTGCACTGCCGGATATAGCTATTCATGAATTTGGAAGAGCCATTATTTTATAAGTTCCTAGAACAATTTTCTTTTGCTTTTTGTTGCTTGGCTTGATATTCATATTAAATCCTGTAATACATTATTAAGACTTACTTACTAGTGTTTATTGCCTTGGGGTGTTTTCTGCTACCCTTTTTTCATAAACTTGTTCAATTTTCTTACAGGGCTTATCTCAACAGCACAAGCGATTACGTTCTTTGTCGGATCTCGTTCCTCATTATAAAAGGAAATCAGTTTTAGAGGTTCTTATTAGGAATAACGTTCCATTGCTGAGGGCTACCTGGTTTATAAAAGTTACTTACCTTAATCTGGTATGAATGCACAATGTTTAAATAATTTACCTATTTATTTTACCCTAAAGTCCCCCTCATCTGTTTGTCCAATATTTGAAGATAGGTTATTATTGAATTTTGCAGGTTCAGCATGGTTCTGCCAATATTCCTTCTGGTACTGCTGACAAAACTCAGTTGTCATGTTCTGAGCTTTGGACCAAAGATGTTATTGCATACTTGCAAACTCTTCTGGATGAATTTTTCTCAAAAAATACTTCTCATTCTACTCATAATCGAGATCGATCACCCCAATTACCTTATAATGCATCACTTCAGCTTCAGCACAGAAGTGACCAGTTATCATCTGTTGCTGATGGTGAAGAACCAACTTTACATTTTAGATGGTGGTATATTGTTCGGCTTCTACAATGGCATCATGCTGAAGGGCTGCTTCTTCCTTCTCTTATCATTGACTGGGTTTTGCGTCTATTACAGGTAATTGCATCTAAGAAGTCTTTCGTGTTCGCAGAAATAAGACAGAGCATTTTATATCTTTTGCTGATTCCAATCCTTTAGACATCAGGTTTTGATTTTTCACACTTATGCCCCTTTCAGGAAAAGCAGTTCCTTGAGATTTGGCAGCTGCTATTGCCTATTGTATATGGCTTTTTAGAAATTGTTGTTCTATCCCAAACATATGTTCGCACTCTTGCTGTGGTAGCTCTTCGTATTATTCGTGATCCTGCTCCTGGTGGATCAGATCTAGTACACAATTCCCGGAGGGCATATACAACTTCTGCTCTGATTGAGATGCTCAGATATTTAATACTCGCAGTTCCAGAGACTTTTGTTGCTTTGGATTGCTTTCCTTTACCATCCTCTGTAGTTTCACATTCAATCAATGATGCCAATTTTGTACTTAAAGCAACTGAAGCAGGAAAGATAAAAAATAGTTCAGAAGATGTTGTGTCTGTATTTAGAAGTAAAGGATTTGACGCACAATACCAATCATTGGCATTTGATCGTGTTATTTCATGCGTTCGAAAAAACGCAGAAGATCTCACAAAGGCTGTAAGCCCAGACTATCCAGGTCAATGTCTGGCTAAAGCTGCACAAGCTTTGGATAAATCCCTTGTACTTGGTGATATACGTGGAGCATACAGATTTCTTTTTGAAGATCTTTGTGATGGAACTGTCTCTGAAGGTTGGGTTGCAAAAGTCAGCCCTTGCTTAAGGTTATCACTGAAGTGGTTTGTGACTGTAAATACATCACTTATTTATTCAGTGTTTTTCCTTTGTGAGTGGGCAACATGTGATTTCAGGGATTTTCGAACTGCTCCTCCTTGTGATATAAAGTTCACAGGCAGGAAAGATCTTTGTCAAGTGCATATAGCTGTTAGACTCTTAAAGTTGAAGCTGAGGGATTTGCAGATTTCACCAAGACAAAAGAGTGGAAGCATTCATGGAGTCAGTTATTTAGCAAAATGTTCAAATCGAAAGAGCAATCGGAATTTTTTGAACAATGCACCCAAAATAAAATCTAGTTCAAAAAATATGGATCAGAATATCTGTTCTTCAGCTATATTTGAAAGCCCAGGTCCTCTACATGATATTGTTGTTTGTTGGATTGATCAGCACATGGTGCATAAAGGGGAGGGCCTCAAACGCCTACATTTATTTATAGTGGAACTCGTACGTGCAGGGATCTTTTACCCATTGGCATATGTACGCCAGCTGATAGTGAGTGGGATCATGGATATGAATGTAAACGTTGTTGACTTGGAGAGACAGAAGAGACATTGCCGAATCTTGAAGCAGCTTCCTGGGAACTTCATGCGTGATGCTTTGGAAGAATTAGGGATTATTGAAGGGCCTCAGCTTACTGATGCCTTGCAAGTTTACTTGAATGAACGACGACTCATACTTTCTGGTTTCTTATGGGAAAACCATGGCAATGCTGCCAGCAGTGCCTCTATATCTTCTCTCAAGCAAAAACATCATCATACATCTTCAACAAAAGACGTAGATTCTCTAGTCTCAGCTGATCAATGGAAAACTGTTCCTTCTAATAAAAAATCTTCTAAAAATGCAAAGGATGACACTATTGTTGAAGAACTGAAGATGGTCATCTCCGTACTGTTACAGCTACCAAAAAGTTTATCTAATTTGAGCACTATGGCATTGGATGAATCTCAAGGTAGTGTCAGAAGACCTGTTGGGTCTCACAGCAAGATTGATCTAGTGGAGGCTACACCTGGGTGCAAAGAATGTAGAAAATCAAAGAGACAAAAATTGAGTGATGAAAGGAGTTCACTTATTCAAGCTCAATCTCCAGTTCTGTCTGATGATGAAGATACATGGTGGATGAAGAAGGGGGTAAAATCCTCGGAGCCTCTCAAAGTTGATCAACCACTTAAGCCAACCAAGCAGGTTACTAAGAGTCGGCAAAAGAATGTGCGTAAGACCCAGAGTCTTGCTCAACTAGCAGCTTCAAGAATTGAGGGTAGCCAAGGGGCATCAACAAGTCATGTGTGTGATAATAAGGTAAGCTGCCCTCACCATAGAACTGCTATGGATGGAGATACGGCAAGGTCTGTTGATGGAATTCGAACAAGTCATTGTGAAGATGTTGTTTCAATTGGAAGGGCTCTAAAACGGCTGCGCTTTGTTGAGAAAAAGGAGATAACAAATTGGCTGATGACTGTAGTTAGGCAGCTTATTGAAGAGACTGAAAAAAATGTTGGTAAAGTCAGCCAATTTGGTAGGCCTTTAGCCACTTTGGATGATAGAAGTTCCGTACGGTGGAAGCTTGGTGAGGATGAACTTTCTGCATTACTTTATCTGATGGATATCTCAGATGATTTAGTATCAGCTGTCAAATTCCTTTTATGGTTGCTGCCAAAGGTTTATAGTAGCCCCAGTTCTACAATTCATAGTGGAAGGAATGTTTTAATGCTGTCAAGGAATGTGGAGAACCAAGCTTGTGATGTTAGTGAGGCTTTTCTGCTATCATCACTGAAAAGGTTACTTTGTACTCAACTTAGTTTATGTATTTTTATTTTTTGGTTTATTCAGCCACAATTTGTTATTTTGTTCCTTTTATCAGTTGGTGTGCTCTTCTTTGTCTGACTTTCCTTATCAATCCTTGTGGTGTTTGATGGGAATTAATAATTACTATTAGGATCAGGTATGTATTATTAAATATAAGTGTACTATTAATTGTCATGTTGGCTGATATGTAAGAGCAGTTATTTTATGCATGGTGTGATGATAGACGGTTATTAGGTTCAATTATGTAATTTTAGGGGCAGTTATTTTTTGTATGGTCTGATTGTAGACAATTAGTAGGTTGTAGGAGCAGTTATGTAATTTTTGTATATGATATGCTGTATGGAAAGACAGTTTAGGTGTATATTTGGAAGAAGGTCTTTTGAAATAGTTGTTGACTGTAGGATTTGTTAAAACTCTGGACAGTTTCTGCTGTAATTATCTAGTCAATTAGTGTGTTTATTCCCAAATTCTAGTGGTGTTCCTATCAGTGTTTGATTGTTTGCAGCTTTTATAGTAACTTTTCAATATGTGATATACTATGTGTTTTACTTCATTTTTTTATTATTGTTTTAATAAGTACTTGTTAAACTTTTGCAAGTCAATGCTTTTTATGCTCATATAGGTTAATTAAGCTTTAAGTCCCCATAAGTGATGTTCATTTTCAATCTGGTTCCTATACAAAAATGTTTTCACATTGGTCCTTATACATTAAATAGTTATCAAGTGAGTCCCTTCTATCACGTATGGGGACTAAAACTCAATCCCTATAGGTGAGTATCAGGAAAGGGACTAAATTGAGAATGATTTTTATGTATAGGGACTGATTTGAAATCATTTGTTGTTAAGGGACCAGATTGAAAATGAGCATTACATATGAACAGAAGTGAAATTAGCCTTTCATTATAACTAAATCAGGCCAGTGTCATTTAAATTTAATTTGTCATCCACATCCACTCAGAGTTGCTCAATTAGAAATCCCTTCTCTACCAGTTGATAATACTAATTGTTTGTGTTGCCGATTGCTAATTTCATAACTAAGTGCAAAGTTGGGCTTAAGTAATTTTTCTGTGACTCTATGAGCTCCATAATCATCCTTTTCATTTTTTCCTTTTTTATCTAATGAATATTATTTACCTTTCATCTTTGTTTTAATGTTGGACAGTTTTTTTATGGATGCTTGCAATATTGATTTTGTTTAGCCTGTCTTAATTGAACATTGTATTTGATGCAGGTACGAGAACGTTCTTGCTGCAGCTGATCTTATTCCTGAAGCTCTGTCATCTACAATGCATCGTGCTGCAGCTATTATAGCATCTAATGGAAGGGTTTCAGGTTCAGGTGCCCTAGCTTTTGCTCATTATTTATTGAAAAAATATAGCAATGTGGTTAGTGTCATTGAGTGGGAGAAAAATTTTAAGACTACATGTGATAAAAGACTTGCTTCCGAATTTGAGTCTGGACGGTCTGGTGATGGAGAATTAGGGCTTCCACTCGGTGTTCCTGCAGGAGTTGAGGACCCTGATGACTTTCTCCGTCAAAAAATAAGCGGTGGTCGGTTACCATCCAGAGTAGGTTCAGGAATGAGAGATGTTGTACAGCGTAATGTGGAAGAAGCATTTCACTATCTTTTTGGAAAAGACAGAAAGCTTTTTGCTGCTGGTACACCAAAAGGTCCTGCTTTAGAAAAATGGGATAATGGGTATCAAATTGCTCATCAAATAGTTATGGGTCTGATAGATTGCTTAAGGCAGACTGGTGGTGCTGCTCAAGAAGGGGACCCCTCTTTGATCACTTCTGCTGTTTCTGCTATTGTTGGTAGTGTTGGTCCAACTTTAGCCAAATTGCCTGATTTTTCAGCTGGCAATAATCATTCAAATATGTCGTTGACAACAAGTTCATTGAACTATGCTAAATGCATTCTGCGAATGCATATAACTTGTTTGTGCTTGCTTAAGGAAGCCTTGGGAGAACGTCAAAGCCGTGTATTTGAGATTGCTCTTGCTACGGAAGCTTCTAATGCTCTTGCTGGAGTTTTTGGTCCAAGTAGAACATTTCGAACTCAGTTTCAAATGTCACCTGAAACCCATGATACTGGTACTAATATTTCAAATGATGTTGTAAACAACTCTAGTAAAATTGTGGTTGCTAGAACAACAAAAATTGGTGCTGCTGTTTCTGCACTTGTCGTTGGAGCTATTATATGTGGTGTCACCAGCCTGGAAAGAATGGTGACCATTCTCAGATTAAAGGAGGGCCTGGATATTGTACAATTTGTAAGAAGTACAAGATCCAATTCAAATGGAAATGCACGTTCAGTTGGGGCTTTTAAGTTGGATAGTTCAGTTGATGTTCATGTCCACTGGTTTAGAGTGCTTGTTGGAAACTGCAGAACAATCTGTGAAGGCTTAGTGGTGGATCTCTTGGGTGAACCATCTATTGTGGCTCTTTCAAGGATGCAGCGTATGCTTCCTCTAAATTTGGTATTTCCACCTGCCTATTCAATATTTGCTTTTGTTTTGTGGCGGCCCTTTCTTATGAATTTCAATGTATCAGTTCGTGAAGATATGAATCAACTTTATCAGTTGCTAACAGTGGCCATAGGCGATGCAGTAAAACATTTTCCATTTCGAGATGTTTGCTTAAGACAATGTCAGGGTCTTTATGATCTTATGGCTGCAGATACAAGTGATGCTGAGTTTGCAACATTGCTAGAGTTGAATGGCTCTGATATGCATTCAAAATCAATGGCATTCATTCCCCTCCGTGCCAGGCTTTTTCTAAATGCCATGGTTGATTGTAAGATGCCACAATCTATTTATATAAAGGATGATGGAGGCCGGAATTCTGGGCATGGTGAATCGAAAATTAAATTTACCAATCGAGAATCTACGCTTCAGGATAAGCTTGTAGATGTTTTAGATTCTCTGCAGCCTGCCAAATTCCACTGGCAATGGGTTGAACTAAGGCTGCTTTTAAATGAACAAGCCCTTGTTGAAAAACTGGAGACACATGATATATCCTTAGCTGATGCTATACAGTTGTCCTTGCCTAGTTCAGAGAAGGCTGCTGCTTCAGAGAATGAGAACAATTTTATTGAAATAATTCTCACAAGGTTACTGGTTAGACCTGATGCTGCACCACTTTTCTCGGAGGTTGTTCATCTTTTTGGGAAGTCACTAGAGGATTCAATGTTGTTACATGCTAAGTGGTTCCTTGGAGGTCAAGATGTCCTCTTTGGTCGTAAGACCATTAGGCAACGACTAATTAACATTGCAGAGAGTAAAGGATTTTCTGTTAAGACACAGTTTTCAGAGCCCTGGGGCTGGTGCACCCCATGTAAAGATCCAGTAATTATCAAGGGGGATAAAAAGAAAGTTGATTCTATGTCTCTTGAAGAAGGAGAGGTTGTTGAAGATGGAATGGATGTGAAAAGGTCCTTAAAAGGGTTCTCTCAGGTGTTTGACTCTGAAAGCTCTACAAATAAGCAGCAGCATGGGACTGAGAGGGCTCTTCTCCAGTTAGTTCTTCCTTGCATAGATCAAAGCTCTGATGAATCTCAAAATTCCTTTGCAAGCGATTTAATCAAACAACTAAATTATATTGAGCAGCAAATAGCTGCAGTTACTTGTGGGCCAAGTAAGCCATTGGCAAGTACTCCTGCAATTGAAGGTCAGACAAATAAAGTAAATAGCCGCAAAACTATAAGAGGTGGCAGCCCTGGATTAGCCAGACGACCAACAGCTGCAACAGATTCTTCTCCACCTTCTCCTGCAGCTTTGCGAGCCTCAATATCTTTACGTGTGCAGTTACTCATGAGATTTCTCCCTATTATTTGCACAGATGGGTAATTAAGACTAGAACTAGATTTCTTCTAATCTTTACATTGTTTTGCTATGCTATCTTGAGATGCTTTCTCTTTCCTGGATTATTACTGCACTAAACTTACCTTTTTTCACTGGATAAATAATATAATACTTTCTTGAAACGTGTTTACATAGTTAACTATCGGGGGGGGGGGGGGGGAGGGTAAGTATTGATGTTCTGAAGGAATACTTGTTTTATTGTATGCCAACATTAGTTTATCAGATAGAAGCAGATTAACTAGATGTTCACTTTTGCAGGGAGTCCTCTGTGCGGAGCATGAGATACACACTTGCCACTGTAATTCTCCGTCTCCTTGGCAGCCGGGTTGTGCACGAGGGTGCAATGGTGAATGCCATGCACTATTCTCTGTTGAAAAGGGAGGTGGAGTCACCTGGTGAAGCTGCTTTTGTAGATTCTTCTGTTGAGGGTCTGTTTGATCATTTGTTGTTGATTTTGCATGGATTGTTGAGTAGTTCTCCTCCAAGTTGGCTTAGGTTGAAACTTGCTTCAAAGACAGCTAATGAATCTACAAGGAAATTTTCTGGATTTGATCGAGAGGCATTAGAGGCTTTGCAGGTTTGCTCTTTCAGCCTATAAATGTACAGCTTTTAGTTTCTGTGACTGAATCCATGTCATAGGAAGGCTTGATATCATCTTATAGAAACATTTATTAGAAAAAAAGCATGCCAGCTTCTTGCTTTTCTTATGGTCTACTGTTTAATGCAGAATCACCTTGATGGTATGCAACTGCCAGACGCTATTCGGTGGCGTATCCAAGCTGCAATGCCTTTACTGCCTTCCTCTATGCGGTGCTCTTTCTCCTGCCAGCCACCAACTGTTCCAACTTCTGCTCTTGTTTTTCTTCAACCCAACACTACAAATTCTGGGTTCAACTTCAGCAGTTTGACTGTTCCTCAGAGGAATCTGGTTCCATCATCGAGGAGTACAACATCAGGGAAGTCAAAACAACAAGACAATGATTTGGAAGTTGACCCTTGGACACTTTTAGAAGACGGCGCTGGATCTTGCCCATCTGCAAGTAATACTGCCATCCTTGGAAGTGGCGATCGGGTTAATATTCGAGCTGCCAGCTGGCTTAAAGGGGCTGTAAGGGTGAGACGGACAGACCTTACTTATGTTGGCGCTGTGGATGAGGATAGTTGATTAATAAGATTTGTTATTGGCTTGGAGTATGCAAACCCCTCATCTAGTGTATTTGTTGTTTCATATTGATGCATGACTGGCATGAAGATGCCATTTTGTGCCTGCCCTTCCTGTGTTGAAGGCAAGTTGAGGGGCATCAATTTGAGAAACAAGTGAAGGGATGGGTTCTCTGTTGAACAAAAGTGAAGCTCCCTGTTGGTTCTGGCCTGTTTGACTACTAACCTGTTGATCACCCCTCCTTCCCCTGGACTTGTGCAGTTCCAGGCACAGTTCAGTGGTTTGTTGTATATATAGGATGATTGTTTCACTTTCCCAATTTATTTGAGTAATATATCTCAAGTGATCTGTAGCTGTTCCATCTAATTCATGTCTCAATGTGTAAGCTGTCTGTATCTTTTGGGGGCCACAGGCGCACACAGTATTATCTGTGCTTTCATCTAGAGAAATGCAGCATTCAATTATTTTACTTGGAACTCCAGATAATTTATTAAAAATTATATTAACTTAAATGCACACTAGTATATGCCGTAATACGTAAAGAGATCTTTGTCATTGTCCTTTATGATTTATTGTGGATGATCATAGATTGTGGGTTGACTCAATTAATAGAAAATGTCAGAGATATAATAGTATTCCTTATATAGCTGCTGTGTTAATGTAAATGAAAAGAGTGTATTAAGAGCAGCCCTCAATCAATGATTTGATTTTGAATGCCGACCAACAAATGATTTTGGCCTTCAAAACAAATTTAACTGGAAGTTCGCGATGAAAAATTGCATTCAATTTGCGGTAAATCTTAATGAATTTAGTTCTGATTAGCTGTTATATATTATCGTTCACCTTTATCTGATAAATGTGTTAAATATTATCACATTCGTCCAATTTAAATAAAATTTATACTTCACGCATTTATGCAAGGAAATATCTAATAAAATAATCTTGATATTTTAGTTGAGCAAGATAATTGAATGTGTATCTATCTGGCTATTTATACATCTGTGGTATTGCAAATCTATTCATTACAAAAATGAAAAACAAGAAAAAGAGAGAAGCGATTAGTTAGCAATACAATCAATGACACTATGAAAATCCTTAAAATAAATGCGAGAGAAAAGAACTTGGAAGTCAAATATTTTTTTATTAGCAAGATTGAAGTAATTACAATTTATTTTAAAGTTGTTGTCCTCATATTTTTAACTAGCGTTTCTTTTTGCGGATCTGTTCCAATTCAGTAATTTTAATTTTAAGATATGAATTGGTAATTTCAATGTTAATCAAACATTTAGACCTCATGTTTGTATAATTTAGTGACTTCCAAGTAATACCTTTATAATATTTTTGGTTGTATGCTGTTTTCCCTTTACATTCGTACAAGTTTTTTTCGGCTACGTTTGATCAAATTCGAATTTCGTTGATTTAAAAGTTTAATGTAATATAAAGCAGGTGAAAAAACAAAGATTTACTTGGTGTGATAACCAACAATATACTGTATGTTGCTGACTTCTGCGATATTCGACCTTGTTCTAATGTTTTACTATGACATAATTGTGAAAGCTGACTTTCATTTGTCATAGTTTGTTTATTGGTTAAATTAAAAATATAGTCCCTACACTTAATTATACTACTAAGAATTTTTTAATTTTTTATTTTTGGTGAAGCTGCTATTAATCATGCTTGAATAGAATGAGAAACGTGTCTTCTGTCTTCATATATTGTACAAAGCTTCATACTGATGCAAGTGAATATGGTTTCATACAATCATTTATTATCTGTAGTGAATATGGTAGAGAGAGACAGTATTAGGAAGCAGGTGTAAAACCCAGTTGTGGTTTCTATACATCTCGATTTCTCATTGAATTATCTACATAAAGAACATCTTCAATCCAAGCTACAATGTTGAATGCCAGGCCTTCCAAAACTCTTGAATAACTCTCTAGTACTGATTTCCCTACATCCTGCAAAAGATAATAGCCATTCTTAGTCCATGTGCTCAAATTCAAATATAGTTTAGTATAAATCCATATTATTCTTTCTTTACAATAAATAGATATTCATAGAGTCCTAAACTATTCATTGTTTGGTTAAGAAAAAGAAAATGACAATGAGCAAGTTTGAGTAAGCTTCTGCTAAAGTACTTGTAGAAGAAAAAATAAAATAAATAAAACCCTTCTCATAAGTTAAAATCAACTAATGTACCTCATGTTTTAAAAATAGAAGAGCATAAATGGATTTTAATTTATGAGAAAAATTTTATTTGTTTTATCTTATTTTCTTCTTTTACAAGTGTTTCTGCGTAAGCTTACCCAAACTGGCCAATGTCTTGACCTTTAGCTATTTCTCAATGCTGAACATGTGATATGAGTTGATAGATTGCTACACTTACCCGGTTGTATTGGATCTTGCATGTATCCAAAGAAGTTTGTGAAAGTTCAGGATATCTTAGCTTCAGGCACAACAATAAAGTCTCAGCTCTCTCAGCTAAGATGTAGTTTTTGTCCTTATAGTCTGTCTCAGCCATGAGATCCTTTACTTTGTTCCATGATGTCTTTGCATGGCTTAGACAAGCTTTACGTCTCCATGAGTACATTGATGATTCAACCCTGTCTGCTAGCTCAAGTGCTTCATGTTCAGAACTTATTTTGAGACAGTCAAGAAGGTTTTCAGGTGAGAACTTGTCTGCATTGTACATATAGTGGTAAATCGTGTCCCCTATACTTGATCGTCCACTCTGAAGACATTGTTTGAAAAGATTAAAAAAAAACAAGTAAGATTGAAGTCTTGTAATTTTGATAAAATTTATGTGAATGCATGTAGTACAGTAGCATGAAAACAATTATTTTCTTGCATTAACTTTATCAGTCTTGAATTTTTATGATTAATTTCAAGGGAATAGGCATAAGATTAATAGATCTCATTGGATTTGCATGCTATTGGTACCTTATATGAAACTATATCATCTCGTTTTCTACAAGAGTCAGCTGCTATTATTGGCTTCCATAAAAGGCTTATGAAGTTTGATGGTAAATTCCAAGACATTTGCTTTATGGGATCACATTTAATGGAATCCTCAATCACTTGGCAATAGAATTTCAGCTGGAAAAGGAAAAAAATGCAGACTCATTCTGAGATTTCAAAAGAAACTTTCACACTGGGACTTTCAGAAGCAAATTATTATCTTTAACAATAGGGATCACCAATGAGGACTAACCTTGGGAAGGTTATCAATATATGTTTCTGGGATGTCTATTTCTGCAAGAACATTGCTATTTATTGCCATGGCTGCTTTATGAATTTGATTAGCACAATCCCTTTTCTCTATCAAATGCTTTCTTGACTTGTCAGAGAGGCCACCAGGGAGAACACAAGGAACTGGCAACCACCATTTCTCATCTTTCCTTGGAACAATCCTTCGAAACGAGGCTGCACGTAATCGATTTGAATTCCCTGATATGTTCTCTGCATACCAAAATTCACTATCCTCGAAAGTATCTAATATTTCCTGCAAGCAACATTCATGTTTACAATTATAAACCCACAAGAATTCTTGATGAAAACTGAACAGTTACATGCAAGAAGCAATTGAGATTTGTCTTACTATGAGCATTGTGTCAAGCTTCTGTAGTGCAGGAAGGTTGATATAGATGTCTGACCTTGGCCTGCTTTTCATCATCTGAAAGAGAACATTTGATCATATTACATACATTTAGATATGGTAAACAAGTTCTATTGAAGTTAAAGTTATCATTTAGCAAAACTCACCTCCACAATTGTGCCATCTTCTAAATACTGTGCAGTTGGAGCAAATTCTTGTATGTAATCACACACTGATAGAAGAACCTTCATTTCCCTTTTCCACATAGCCTTTTTCTCAGGCTTTAGTGGTTCCAATTTCAAACTTTGTCCAAATACAGTTGCTGCAGAATTTCCAAATCAAACTCATTCAATGACAACTAATTTTACAAACAAATATGATAAATACTGGTAACAGACTCTCTAACACTATTTTTTGCTGAAAATTATTGGAATTCAATGAATCTCACTCATAATTTTCTGAATTCTAATAAATTTTAGATAATAACAAAGAGTGTGTTAGAGGACGTGTTATTAGGCATTTCTCAACAAATAAATAAGTAAATAACCCTTACATCAAGCTATGCTATTGATACTGTTAAAATAATTACCATAGAGATTGGTAATGGCATTTGAGATTGTAACTGCAGTGCAAACTCCTTTCCCGCTACCAGACATGTCTTCTCCCAGCAGAAGCTTTGCAAATCTTTCCTTCATCATGTCAAGCTCAGCTAAGGTGAACAAAATTAAGTTAATCACTATTGAAAATTGTGCTTATTCAAAGAGTACTAAAAGGTCATAAATAACACAAGCTATGCAAAGTGCAAACTACCTGAATCCAAGAGATCGCCGCCACTAAGTTTATCATCCATTGAAGGCTTGCGCAGTTTCATTCCTAGTTTTGAAAGAATAACCTGTTTAGCCCCGGGTTTAAGCGCCGTCCAGCGAGAAGGTGAAGGTTCACTAGCATAGCTGCTATCATCTACAGTCTCTGACTCTGAGCTTGTCCAGTTTTGGCATAATTGAAAAGAATCTCCACTCAATGTGGAAAAAGCAAGAGTATCAGAAGGTGAAGGGTGATAACCCACATCAGAATTTTCATCAAAGTTTGATGATTTATCCATCTTAGCTCAAGAATGTGTGATTAGCTTCTTCAAAACCTGCACGTAAACATGAAGGTTATTTCACAAATTGAGCTTGTGAGTTTTAAAATTTGAATACTTCATGATCAATTTGAAACATACTATAGGATATAAAAGCATGACACAGAACTCAGCTTAAAATATACAAATTTCATTGAAATCAAACTATAAATATAGAAAACAAAAGGGAAAAAAAGGGTGATCAAAAGCAAAAGCAGAAAATTTTGAATGTTCTTGTCCTCTAGAAAAAAAAAAAAAGCAAAAGCAAACAAAGATTGCTGCTTCTGTTGAGACTCAAAATGATTCAGTGAAGAACACAACAAAGGGTTGTGAGAAGGACACACACACACAAAAAAAAAAAAAAAGCAATCTTTGACAACTTTCCGAGGTTGAAACTAACTGAAATTTAAAACTTCAAAAATAACGGTTGGAAAAAAAGGAAGGGTCCCCATTATTTTCTAATGTTACCTTTTTATGTGATAGATTTGAATTTGAAGTTTAAACTTTAACTAGTTAACAAGGTTTGAAACAGTTCCCTCCTAAGCATCAGTACCTTTATCATCTTCCCTGAAAACTTTCCATGCAAAAGAAAGAAAAGGCGAAATTATTGGCCTCCTGCCCCTGTAATAATAAATTCATCATTAAAGAAAAAAGACCAAGTTGCAGATATGGCCAAATTTTTGGGTAGACTCAGAAGACGAATATGGGATGAGAATTGAAAAAGGAATAGAACAAGACATGCAAGGTGTGTACTAGTAGAAAATTATAAGAATCTTCAGACTGCATGTGATTATAATATATATGATTCATAAACAAATGCTGATTAAGTAACATTTGCTTCAGGGGAATTATTAATGTGAAATTTAAAAATAAAAAAAAACCTGTAAAAATACAAAAGTTATAAACACTGATAGTTGGATTTTTGATACAATTGTATTTAAATTAAATAAACTTAGATAAAAGTAAGAAAGAAATAATATAAAATTCTACAAGATGCCAAAAAGCATAAACAGCCGTATTAACTATCATTAAAGAATAGTTTAGATCTGTCACTTGTACTTTTGTTTTGAATTTGAAAATATTCTAAAATGGAAAGTCGTTTGCATGCATTTGATCACGAAAGCAGCCCACCAAAGTACAAAACCACTACTATTAATTATTTATCGTGATATTTGTTTATTTATTTTATTATTAATTTTTTAAGTAATATGCTAGATTATTTTTCAAAATTTCGAGTACTTTTTAATTTATCTTCAAAAATTATTAAAGAATGACTATTTTACTGTCTAATGTTATTAAATGATAGTTAGTTTAGTCTTCTAAATTACAAAATAAGGATTAAAATTACAGATTAAAATGATATTCTTCTATAATTTTAGATATTAAAGTAATCAACACATATAATTTTAGAGACTAATTCAGTATATTACTCATTTGTTTTTTTACTTTTTCAAGATTTTTTTTTTATGAAATACAGAAAAAAAAATGTTAATTGGGCATCTCTACGAAACACATCCCCTCATTACATATTAAGCATGTATATATGGTAAAATCTCATTATGTGTATATGAAAGATAAGGATTACCCAATTATGGCCAAAATGATTGAAAAAATGCCAATGTGAGCTGATATGTGTAAGTAAATACTCTCCAAAAATACTGTTGTTTGAACATCTGCTTAATATTTCTGACATAGGTAGGTTGAGCACTTAAGGTTATGATAGTTAAAAGTGCACCACATGAACCAAAAACAAGATGCGGATTGCACAATATTTTAATTTTAATATGTACTTATGATCCTTTGTAGTTCCATAAGGCGACAACGTTTTAGGAGATGAAGACAACATATATAATAATTTCAGCATCTTTCTGGAAATGTATAATATATCTATTATCACATAAAATCCGTTCATCTACATCAAATATTTAAGATAAAAACACCGAATCAAACTTAAGATTAAGATTTAGAAATAGCATCCAAGTTGCCATTTTGCTTTGCTGGGTGGAAATTTGGTACATGGGTTGCTAGCCTGTTTGGATCAGGGTTGGTTACATGTTGAGAATATTAAAATTGATGAAATTAAAAATATTAACTTTGTCCAAATTTATAATTTTATAATAAAATAGATATTATAACTTGTATATTTGAAGAATTTAAATTTATACTTACTCTTAAGCTTTTCACCAATAAAAAGTAAAAAAGATTCTTGAAATATATTATCATTGTAATTGTTCTCCCTATTTTTATATTTTTATTAATATTATCATTATTTTGTTATCATCATCTCTTCTATTACTATTGTCTTCATCGTTATTATTAATATTATTATTGTTGTTGTACAAGTTCCTAGTGTTATTATCTATCACTACAGTTATCAATTTTCTCTACAATATTGTGGCTTTATTGTCAAGATTATCACATTTATGCTTCTGTTTCCTTGGCTTTACAATTACTACCACCACTTTCATCATCGTTTTTCTCTACTTCAGCTGCTGCATCATTATTACTGCAGTCATTATCATCAATGCTTTCATCAATTCTATCCTTAGCATGGTTGTTCTCGCTACATGTATATATATATATATATATTTTAAACTCAAATTACTACTTCTAAATAGAGGTGTAAAAATAAAATTAAAATGTAACTTAAAATTATAATTTTATGTTTTCTGTGTACATCAAACATATGATCTATGATTATGAACTAATTCCAATTCTAACATTATTAAAAAAATTAGACTTATGATTTTGAATTTACACTTTCAGTTTCATGGACTAAATGGGCCTTTATTATTATTATTTTCTCTAAAAAGTAGCAAGGAGACTAGGAATTCATTGATTCTTATAAAACTTAAACTTAGTTATACCTGTGACATGAGAATGACAAAGTTTATATGCTGTGTGAGTCTAATTATTATTACTTTTTTGGTACATAAAAAAACTAACAAGAGCACACAGGTTTGCATCACATTAGCCCAAAAATGAATTAAGGATAGCACACAGATTTGTTGGTAAAGAAAGTGAAAACAAACAAAATAATCATGTCGTCAATTAGGGTTAGTTATTGCTGATGATGTAGCAGTTTTATAAAACATGGTGGGGACTTAACTATCTTAACAAAATTAGAATTATTTTATATATAAATAAATGCTACGTACATCAAACCAACGTACGTAGGCTGTTAAACTGCATTGTTTTTAATTTTTTACGTATATTTTTAATTTTTTGGTTAATTAAGTCTTTTAATATTTTTAAAATTAAGTAAACTTGGTTCTTCTATGAATTTTGTTATAGTTTAAAATTTCAAATTAATATTATTTATTCAAACATTTGGAGAATTTGTGATTGATTTATCATATGACAATTGATTTTAAATATTTAAAAGTCAAAGATTTTGTATGAATTTGATAAAATTTAAAGAATGTCAAAACATGTGAGATTATGATTTAAAAAAATTGTTTTATATATATATATATATATATATATATATATATATTGGTTAAAATTTGACGATTTGATGGGTGAATTTTAAATATATTTTTTAAGCAATTTAATTGATTCAGTTGATGAACATTTTGAATAAAAGAAGAACTAGGCAGTGCTAGGCAGAAGCAAATAAACAAAAGGATCATATTAATTTACTTAATTGTAAAGTTAAATGAACTTACTTAGCTAATTAAAAAACTATTAATTAAAATTACACATAATCTAAATCAAAGGAATTGAAAGTGTAATTATTTCTCCCCCTTATAGTGGATACTAACTCGAGATCGATCCTTTCCGCAGCATAAAGATCATTGAAGAGTATTTTGTTTCTTGCAAGAATTTTTTTATGTGAATTAAATCTTTGTCAATATATTCAAAGAACACAACTAGTCACTACTTTATTGATACATTAAGAGAATTTGATTTGTGAAAACAATGGTAACACTGGAAAAAACAAACTCAAATCTTCAAGTAAATATGCGCATAACACATTTGAACAACAGCAAAGTCTTTCTCTCTATTAGTTTTATAAACAAATTAACAACTTAGAGAGCACATAAATGCAAGTCATATATACAGATGTAACAAAGCATATATTAATATTATTATCTATGTGATGCACCCTGATGATGAATGAATATTCACTATGTTACAACCATTTACAACTGAGCCTTGATGCCAGCAAAATCTCTAACTGTGAACCCCACCTTATCAAATCTTCCTCTTTCATTGTTCTCTCTAAATTTCAAATAGTCAAAGCACACAAATGGCTTGTACTTCCTCTTGTTTCCTTCTCCAACAACCTCATCTGGTGCCAAAATCACCTTGTCATCCTCAAAGCACCAGAAGAATGCTAAAGAAAATCTGTTAACATGATGCTTCAAAACAACTCTATGTTCTGAGGACCTTAATTTGTCATTGCTCCAAGCTTGTAACATATCTCCTATGTTCACCACTAGGGTACCCTCAGAGGGTAAGATATCTATCCATTCTCCCTCATTTGATCTCACTTGAAGCCCTCCTATTTCATCTTGATATAGGATGGTAATACAACTCATATCAGTGTGCATTCCAAGCCCTTCAACTTGATCTACCATACTTTCTGGGCCAGAATAATTGTTTATCCTCAAGTAACCATGGCACTTTTTGAACTCAGAATCATAAAACTTCTTCTCAATGCCATCCCCTAGGCCCATCAACACCATCTTTAGAATTTTCTTAGACAAATCTTCCATCTTACAGCCATATTCTTCCAGCATCACACTATTCAAAAAATATAAATGCAAGCAAACTTATGCTTGATTAAATAAAATAAGACGGAAAAAGACACCAAATAGTCAAAAGTATAATAGGCTTAGATATTACACACATGTGAGAGCGAAATTAATCATAACTATATAATTATACATAAATTATCACGATTTAAATTATATATAGTTGAGATTCACATTTCTTATATGTTCTAGTCTCTCAACCAGCTGATATGCTTCATCTGCGTGTTAGTGTGTGTGTGTGTATATATATATATATATATATATATATATATATATATATATATATATATATATATATATAATTTTACCTGAATTTGGAATCCTGTTTGTCAAAGAGGATTTCAGCAGAACTATTAGCAGAAGCATAAAAGTTGGGTCCATTAACTCGGAGGCTTTCAAAGAATGGAGAGGCAATGAAATGAGGGGTGTAAGATTTTAAAGAAGAAAAGGGACCAATTCTAAGCTTAGTTTCATAAGGGAGACTGAAGAGGTGTTTGGATAGTGAGTGGAGCTGGCTGCAAAGATCTTTGGCGATTCCATGGTTGATTATGTGGAAAAATCCCCAATCTTTGCTGGCCTTTGAGAGGAAAGATAGAGAAGATGGCTGCAATGGTTGAGAAATGTCTAAAATGGGAATGTCAGCATGAGATTTGAAGTTTGCCATTTTGTCTAGATGTGAAGAAATTAAAGATGTAGTATATTTTGCCACCTAAATTTTGGTTCTCTAAATATATAGAAGGGTTGGTCAGAAACTTAGCTGAAGAAGGGAATCTTAGTACATAAAGTTGAAAGGACAGGTCTATCATTTCTGTCAATTAATGAGGAAAGTCGCATACAAAATAAAGAGAAATTGTATTTACAAAATTTCGTTGTATAACAAAGTATACAGTAAAGAGAGAGATAAGTGTGTAATAAGATAGACAATAGACTTGGATTATTTTTTTAAATATGATATTTAGAAATTATATATGCCAAAATATGGTATTTTTTGAAAAATTATAAAAATGTAGTATTTAAAAATTGCGAATGACAATTTTTGGTTAAAGTACAAAATTTAAAGATAAAAAATTGAAAAAGTGATAAAGATTTAAAAATTACCAATGATAATTTTTTTTAAAATATTAAAATAATAAAAAATTAAAAATTGTTAATGGTAACTTTTTAAAAATAATAAAATATTAAAAATTACAAAAAGTAATTAAAAGTGGTTAAAAATCGTCATTGGTGAATTTAGAAAAAAAAATCATATTTATGTAATTTTGCTAAAAATCTCATATTTTGATAATTTAAAAAAATATATCATATAAAAAAAGAAAAAAGAGCCGATAGACTAGAAAAAGAAAAAAGATATTATACAAATAACAAGTCAGTGACAGGAAAGATGATCTAATATACGAGACTCGTAGATGTAGGGTAGGCAATTGTCGATAGTCTTACTCCTAGATGTTAAAATGTGATATAATAAATAATAATAAACATCGACACTGATTAAATGTTTATAAATCAAAATTATTAAGTTTATGATCTATAGATTTATAAAAGGCTTAACCTTATATCATTGCACCAAAGATATAATACAAAATAGATTATAACAAAACAAGATAAATTGTCGCTGCCTTTGCATAGTGTTAATAGGGTATAATTAAAGCTGAAGAACTGTGGAAATTATCATTGGTCAAAAGTATAATTAAATGAATGATTGTGGGCAATGATGAGTCTACGACCATGTACAACAATCAAGTGCTATGCCATATTGAAAAGGCTATTGATAAATGGCGGCATCAACAATGGTTAAAAATTCTCTCACTTAAAAGTGCAGACAAATTTCTCACCCTCTATTGACTATGGTTTTCTGAAGAATGTCTTTCGATCTAAAAGTGAGGGAGAAAATGATGCACACTTATAGTCAGCAAGGATAGGCTGGTAAGCATGGAAATCCCATTTTTCAATGAGCATAATTTTGACATGACCAAATAGCTAGCTAGGTTAATTAGTTTATTTCTAGCTAGAGTTGAAGACCTAATTCCAGTGAAACAACCATGCATGATGATTCAACAAGCAACCCTACCTTTGTCAGCTTCTGATAATGATTGCATATATGGTATTGTTTGCAAAAAGTGGATATGTACACTACTATAGTTATATATGCAAAGTGCACATCAGAAAATATATTGAAGTAGAATTGTACATGCATGTGTTTAATTTACTAAATTTATTACTAACCCTTTTCTCATGTCTTTACTTAGGCTTGAGGTTGTTGATTACAAACCATGAGACGAGAAAAATATTACTTGCACATCTTTTTTTTAGGAAATAAGAGGTAGAAAGAAGAAAATGATAAAAAGAAAGAAAGAAACAAATGAGAGAAAAAAGTGATAAATAATGCGATATATATGACAAGAAGAGACGGGAAAAAATGAAGTAAAAAAAATACAAGTTTAAACGTATTTTTTATCTTTATATTTTTGCTAGATTTTGATTCTAGTATTTTAAAAATTTGTTTTAATTTTAGTCTCTAGTGATGACAATTAAAAGTACTAACTTTAGAAAAATTAAAACTTAAATTCAAAAGAATTTTTTTTAAAATACTAAAATTAAAATTTTATAAAAGTGTAGAGAGAAAATTTATATATACCAAAAAAGTATGTAAATGTCATTATTGATGACATAAAACATGTTCTAAATTTATATTGAGATGATAATGTGAAGGGAGGTGTATGACAATCATTTATTATTTTAGTTGTTAAAAAAAATAAAATAAAAATATAATTAAGAATATATTAATATTTTATTTTAATCTTTCTAATTATAAATATCACTTCAATCTTTACCTTTACAAAAAATTACTTATTTTAGTTATTTTTGTTTTATTCTTTATTGTATTTTATATTTTTAAAAATTAAAATAAATATATTATATAAAATGAATGATTAAAGTAAAATTTGTATAAAGTTAAAGATTAATGTGACTGACCCTAATTACAATTTAAAAGATTAAAATGTAAATTTATTTTTAAAAAATATACAACATATTAATTTTGATGTATAATTAATAAAATGTTAAGTAACTTCTTATTATTATAAAATTGTATACATACAATATGATAAAGTTATAATAAAATGTGAGTGGGATACATTATGATTGCATTGCATCAATTTCGTCCATAAAAGGTTGCTTACAAATTTTCTCTTACACCCAACGTGTTGTTTTTTTATTAGACCCGTTTGGCACTTAGTCAAATATTCCTCCATTTTTATTCATGGTTAAACTAAAATGCATTACAGCCAAACCCATTTAGTAATCTTTGGAAAGGGACAATAGTGCCACCAAATCATATTTACTATAAGTTGAGAAAGATAATAATTACACTCCATCAAAGGTTTAGAAGATTATAATAAGAAACATAAAATATCTGAATGGATTTTATTTTTTTTATTTCAAACTTTAGGAAATAGAATCAATATTTCCATAAAGTTATTTGTTATTGTCACCTTTTCACTTATTTCATGATTTGTTATCATCTGATATAAGTGATGTTCTTGATTTGTAGGTAAAAGTTTAATTAATATTTTTTTAGGATTTTTTACTTTATTATTGAATCTTTAATAAATTTATCTATTAAATTTATGATTGAATCCTAAATCCATGCAATGACCTGTGTATGATTCTCCATTGAATGTCATCTATGAATCTATGATACAAGGACTTACCTATAGGGTATAGTTATACTATTTTAAATCCTCAGGAACGTGGATTCTTTTTAGAAATAAAAACATGTTTTTTCTTAAATATTTGTAAAGTTAAAATTTTATAAAATTTCTTTCTCCGTTTTCTTTTCATAAAATATTTTTTGTTTTAATAATAAAAAAATATATTTTGAAAGTTATTATGATTTTTATAATAAAACAACCACTACTTTTAGGCGAACTTATTACAAGTATTATGATATTTAAGTTCAAACTTTTTTCTAAATGTAAATATATTCTATTTTTGTAAACTAATTTTTTAAATAAATTTTTTTGAAAAAAACATTTTCCCAAATGAAATTAATGTCAGTGGGAACTCTACTTTAGAATTGTTTTTTTTTCCCCAATTTTGTGATGATACCCACTATAACGATGATGGAATTATTTGAAGAATTTTATACAATTTAATCCTTGGATTTATCCTAAACATGGACATAAAGTGCCACCAAATCAGATTAACGAATCATTGTTCTTGACTTAATAGTTTCATTTAAAGAAATTGCAAAACATGTCTGGATTTCATTCGCACAAGGTTTTGATGAATATATGCTGAATCATTGGGCTTAAACTTTTGTTTCAAGTCCAATGAAAAGTGAATTTTTTCATTGAAATTCAATAAAGTTTGAAGCCCAAACTAGGGTAGCTTGATGCAAGTTAGATAGTTCTTTTGTTACCTTTAATACATAATGTTTTCATGTTGTAAGGTATTCAATGAGTAAACAATTGCTTTAGTTTCTAAATTTGTAGTCACTTTTCACTTTCCATCTTGAATTTCTAAAAAAATTACTCTGCTTTTGAACTTTATAAAATATAGTATGTTTTTTCCCCTTGATTTTTAATGTTGAGAAAGTATAGTGGAGGAATAATATATATATATATATATATATATATATATATATATATATATACATATATATAACATTTTAAAAGGTTTTAATTATTTGAAATTATCATAACTAATAAAATATTATTGTAATAATGACTCAAATATTTCATTACACATTATATTGGTTGAATAAATTTAAATATTAATTAAAACAATAAAAAAATGGAAAAAATAATGATTGGATAATTAATTAAAAATAATCTGCATAAAATTTATTGAAGATGTAGAAACTCTTAATGCGACCTTCTTATTTAATAACAAATAGGAAAAATGGTTTCATATATGTGTAACCAAACACCTCATTAAATTCCCACTAAAAGCATATTCAACTTTGATTTTGTAGGCACTAGTTACTTTTATTTTATAAAAGTTTTACTTAATCATTAATTTTATACAAATAATTTATTTTATTTCTCGTTATAATTTTTTTCAAGTATAAAAAAATTAAAATAAATAACATTTGAAATTTCTGTAATTAAAACAAAACTTATGCGATAAAATTAAAATGCATTTTAAAATAAAAAAAGTTATTCTCTGCCTTTAAAATTGAGTTTAAATAACTTATAATAACAAAATTTTATTAAAAAAAATAATTTATTTCAATTTTAATATAATAATATTTTATGATAAAAATTTATTACTTTTTAGTGTTTAAGCTTAATTCTAAAGATTGACATTAAACAAATCTTAAAAATAAATGAATGATAAATTCAAACATAGCTAGTCCACGTAGAGTTAAAATGTAATTTAGTTTTTATTTTTTTATCAATTCAAATTCTTTGAAAAAAAAATCATCAGATATAAAACTAAAATTATAAATGTGAAAAAGTAATAATTTTTATTTCTGAATATAAGTATTAAAGTGTCTTATTTATTGTTTTTAAGTATTAGTGCAAGTTTATTTTAATCTTTTTAAAATATTTATTAATTTTAAATATCTGAATTCTTTAAAAAAAAAAGAAACAATTAATTTTTAACATTTAAAGTAAAAGTTATATAAGGATATTGGCCTCTAAACGTTAAGTTTTGTAT